TCATTACAACTGCAGCAATTATTGCGAATATACCGTTCGAGAAGATCTTTACCATAACAATCTGCTTTGTAATCTTCTACTTTTTTTTAGGAAAAAAGTACGGACAGGGTGTATACTTTGCTAGGGACGCCAATTACTCTGGTCATTACACTACGAATGCTGGTGATGGCCGCCACATGTATCTTGCCCGTGTCCTGGTGGGAAAGTACTGTGCAGGAAAGCAAGACATGAAGGTGCCCCCACCAAAAGACCCTTCGAGTCCAGAAGTGCTTTATGATTCTGTTGTAGATCAAACAGAAAATCCCAGCATATTTGTAGTTTTTTATGATAATCAATGTTACCCAGAGTACCATGTAACCTTTGAGTATAATCGACCACACTCTAATCAGTGAGGCTCACAAGGAGCCCATTTGCCAACCTGAGATTGCGCAGAAGCTGCAATTTCACCCCACAGTTGACAGCAGAAAACGACTTGAGGATCTTTTTAGGGTCAAACCCGTTTGAAAATGATTAACCAGAGAATACAAAAACCCTACATTTCATTTTAAGTTTTAATGCTTCCATCTTTAAGCTTTTCATCTGTGTCATTGTCATATCGTTGCTGTTTTTTCTCAAGAGTTGAAGATTTGAATTTTCGCATCTTAATAAGCTGGAAGCTTGCCACATCGCAGTTCCAATCTCTGAAAAAAAAAAACAAAAAAAGAAAGAAAATGAAAGTGAATGTGCCGATCAATCAGAAGCTACGAAGTCATCGTCGCTGATTTTTGTTTCACAAAAAAGCAAGGAGGGGTATTTGAACATAATTTTTGCCTAAGTGGGAGGAGGAGGGAATTCGACGTCTAAGGAAAATAATGTAGTCCTGAATAAAAAAACACACCCGCCAAACATGGTGAAAACTCGTGTTTTTAGATATATTTTTGCTGAAAGAAGAAAAACTCGCAAATTTTCCTTGTAACAGTTTAAAATTAACTTTGCAAATAGTAGACATAAGCCTTTTCACAAGAGGTGTAAGAATGATTAGGGTGTTGTTGTCAAATCAAAATTCTTTGACACACAAGTGAAATTGTTTCTCTAGTTCTGATTTTAATTACCCACTGTGATTTGTGAATAGCCGATTAGTTTGCCTCCCCCTCAGTTCATATATTTAACAATTTGCTTCCTGGCACTTCTTTATGTCTAGGTAGTTACAATGTACTCAGTTAGAGCAGAGAAGCTTGATATTGTCACTCAAATAAAGTTAAAGTAGAAGTATGTTATTTTACTATGCATTCTTGCAGAATTCAGCAAGACCTAACTTCTTAAAATGAGAGATGCAGTGAGCTTATGGTTAGTACACTGGACTATGGGTCAACAAGTCCATGTTTGACACCTGGCCAAGTCATTGTGTTGTGTTCTTGGGCAAAACACATTATTCTCACAGTGCCTCTCTCCACCCAGGAGCAAAAATGGGTACTGAGACTTGCCAGGGAAGCTCCATGAAATGCTAGGGGTAACCTTGCGACATACAAGCATCCCATCCAGGGTCGATCGAGGCCCAAACATTTGTGTTTAGTCTTTTTTTTTTCCCGATGATATGTTAGTTCCTAACCTTGAGAAAACGCAATTCGTCATTTTGAAAAGAAGTAAATCAACGAGAAAACTCATAAGTAGCCTTCAACATTTCACGGAAATGCCCATCTACAAAGGACGTAATCGTGACAGTGCTTATTTCATTTTGTCGTGGTGGCCGATCGTTCTTGTTATGTGAAAGTCTCTACATATGAAAATCAAATTTAGCTTTTCTAGTCTTTTTGTTATTATATTTGTCATTTTACAAACAGTGCTTTACTCTTTTGCATATCGACTCATAAGGCTTTTCAGTTGTACTGTGTGTGAACTCTTTTTGTAGGAGCGTAGAAGAGCATACTCTTTCCCCCAATATCCCCGCATTTTCTCAAATCTGACTGGTCTGCTTTGGTTGCAAATAAGCTCAAAGCATTTCTGCCGCTATAAACAGCTAGGATGTGAATGCCAATTCGAAAAATTAAGGCTCTAGAGCCTAGTGTTATTATAACTCTTTCAATAACTCATCTTCTTGTAAGTCATGATCAAAGTACCTCAACAATATTGTGAAACTAACCGTAATCATTCAAACCTTTGTGTTTTGAGTTTTTTTTTTTTTTTCGATGATATGTGAGTTCCAAAACTTGTGAAAATACAATTTGTCATTTTGAAAACACTCAGGTAAATAAACGAGAAAGTTCATTGCAGCCATCTAAATTTCACGGAATCGCCCATCTAAAAACGACGTGATCGTGACTGTGCTTATTTAATTCAATCGTAGCGGGCGATCGTTCTTGTCAAAATGCAAAAGGTGACCGCTACTGCATGGAGGTCAAACCGTTCTGCAACACCAGTAAAGACGTTGAAGCTGACTGTGCCGAGATCTGTCGCAAATGCTTTCCTTCATTGGGTTATATTTATGTGGGACCAGCATTATCTATCGCGGGTAGGGGGGGTTGGAGGATCTTGGAGGGGGCTCTTATATTTTTCAGGGGAAAAGGGGGGTGCAGTCGTTCATGTGGCCGTGGAGTACAGTATTTCTATAGAAACTGCAACAATCCCTGTCCAGCACACGGAGGACGAGAGTGCAGGAGACTGGGACCTCGCTAT